TGACTTTCTTTTATAGACTTTCTTTTTTTTTTTTTTAAAGATTTTACGTATTTATTTTGAGAAAGTGAGAGGGAGAGCACAAGCCGGGTGGGGCGAAAGGCAGAGGGAGAAGCCCGCTCCCTGCTGATCAGGGAGCCCAACTGAGGGCTCGATCCCAGGACCCTGGGATCATGACCTGAATCAAAGGCAGACGCTTAACCGACTGAGCCACCCAGGCGCCCCATCTTCTATTGACTTTAAAAAAAGTGTTTTCTGACTTTTCCATAAGAGCCTGTATGTTCCAGAGAACCTCTCCTCTCAGTACTGTTACACAAATTGTGGATATCTTTTGCAATGACCTTTATAATTAGCGGGGAGAAAGCAGTGCACAAATAAGAAACAAAAGGAGAAAAATGTACAAGGCCTCTCGCACGTTTGTAGATGTTATTTTGAGAAATGTAACTCGTGTCCATTATAAACTTGTTTTAATGCAGTTGCAGTTAACAGGGGAGACCTCCTTTTAGCAGTGTTTCTGGCAAGTAAGCTGTCCCTGGACGGGGGTCTGTCACAGGCCCTTACCTGGCATGAATGAACTGTTCCTGTTTTCAGTGGCCCATGTCTGTTTCTTTGCAGGTGGGGTGACGCGGATGACCGTTTCTCTCGTTGTCATAATGTTCGAACTAACTGGGGGCTTGGAGTACATTGTGCCTCTGATGGCTGCAGCCATGACAAGCAAGTGGGTGGCAGACGCTCTTGGGCGGGAAGGCATCTATGATGCCCACATTCGTCTCAATGGTTACCCCTTTCTTGAAGCCAAAGAAGAGTTTGCCCATAAGACCCTGGCAATGGATGTGATGAAACCCCGGAGAAATGATCCTTTATTGACTGTCCTTACTCAGGACAGTATGACTGTGGAAGATGTAGAGACTATCATCAGTGAAACCACTTACAGTGGCTTCCCAGTGGTGGTGTCCCGGGAGTCCCAAAGACTTGTGGGTTTTGTTCTCCGAAGGGATCTCATTATTTCAATTGGTAAGGATTTCAGAAAGAGGATCATGAGATCCACGGTGGAAATAAATAAATACATGCACAAAGGGTGGGGAGACAGAGGGAGGATGGGATGAATTAGGGGCCATCAAGATAGAAGGAGCACCTCCATTTTCAACTTTCTCCCCCCCCTACTTCTCAAATAGAAAATGCACGGAAGAAACAGGATGGGGTTGTGAGCACGTCCGTCATTTATTTCACCGAGCATTCTCCTCCCATGCCGCCATACACCCCGCCCACCCTGAAGCTCCGGAACATCCTGGATCTCAGCCCCTTCACTGTGACTGACCTCACCCCCATGGAGATTGTCGTGGACATCTTCCGCAAGCTGGGACTGCGGCAGTGCCTGGTTACGCACAACGGGTGAGAGCTCCCTGGGGGAGGCACATTGGATTGTGGGAGGAAGGAGAATGTAGAGAGAGAAAGAGAGAAGAACCCAATTCATTTGACCCTCAGTAGCACTTACAGGCCCTCCTGAAGCTCCGCGATGAAGATGGATGTGTTTCTTTTATCATCATCATGAATGGAAAAGGGGTTTGGGAGAAAATGTGTGTTTGAGAGATGGGAACTACTGGCTGCACATTATAAATAATGTAGTCCCTGCCCCGCAAAGGAAACGGCTGTGTCCTTTTGAACAGACAGCACTGAAGTTATGATGGTATTAGGTAGTATATGTTTATATAGTATTTGGTCCTTAGAATACCTTTATTTTTATTATTTGAAGATGAGAGAAGCAAGTTTCTGTGAGGTTTGAAGATCTGCACAAGGGCCCCCTGTTAATACACAGTAGAGAGGTAGGCTTTAAATACAAGTCTTCTGACTCTCAAGACCAAGGCTCGGTCTTTCTGGGACATTTCCTTATTTTTTTTTTAATTAAAAAACTTTTTTTTTCAGTCCCCCCCCCCAGGACATTTGTCATGCAGTAAAGGAAGCCCTGCTATTTCTATTGGAAAACAAGGGAGGTGGAGGAGGAGGGTGGATTTTTTTTTCTAAGCATGCTATGTTAATCCAGCAGTTATGTAAGAATTTCACTCTGTACGATTTCTAAATATTGTAACAGATGTCTTGCAGGATTTGAATCAGCAAGGGGATTTTCCCTAACTGATTCATTCAACACTTACTGAATCCCCTATTTCATGCAAGAAGGTATTCCGCTAGATGCCAAGGAGACACAAAAAAGGTCCTTCTCCCCCCTCAAGGAGTGTGCGATGTCCTAGGGAATCTGAGAACACATGAACCCGTATCACACGACAGCAAATGGGACAAGGGTGTAGGTCAGGCCGTTGCTGCCACGAGGATGCAGGCATTGCCATCCTGCAAGATCAGGGAGGCATTCTGGAAGAGGAGCGCCTGAACCGGGTGGCAAACGAGAAGATTCAGATATGTAGGGGATATTTAAGCCACAAGAGGTAGCAGGATGTGAGACCGGAAGTAGAAATGCTGGCAGCCTGTCTGGGGACCCGTGCGCAGTCCCGTTTGCCAGGCGCATGTAACCTAGTCCTGTGAGTGCCTCAGGCTGTAAGCCCGGACGGTGTTGAAGACAGAGTTGCAAAGGACTGGGGTGGAAGGGTGTCACCTCAGAGAATGTTAACCCCCGATTTATTTTTGTTTTGTTGTCTCGTTTTGTCTTGCAGGCGGTTGCTCGGAATCATTACCAAAAAGGATGTGTTAAAGCATATAGCACAGATGGCGAACCAAGATCCCGACTCCATTCTCTTCAACTAGAATCACAGGGTTGTGCTGGATATAAAACAGGAAGGACATTGCAGACCATGGATGTATTTTGTTAACTGGGTACCCAAAACACATTTCCCGTATTTGGAGGGTGAAGTTATATTATTAGTGTGTTGTCCCTTTCCTCTAAGTTAACCAGTTGCACTACATAATCTCTGGAATTTAATCTCCTCTTGAGGAGAAAATACAGTTAGGCTTCTGTGATATTGCATTAGGAAGATTTTATGAAAGAGTCAACGAGATTGCTCTGGTTTCATTCTTTTTAATTTTTTTAAAATTTAAAACATAATTGTTAGCCAATATGCAATCACTGAAAACTATGCAAGAAAAATTCCAACCGTCCTGACCTATAGCCTGTAGGAAACTCATGAAAAAGTCACTTTTTTTGGACTCTAACTGTCGTTGGTGGAAGATGAAGTGTAAGCTAAGGGGCTTTGCTTTTCCAACCACAGAAAGGAAAGCCAGAAGGAAAATAGTAATGGTGTTTTCCAGACTGTGAAAATTCAGTTCAAATGTTATCTTGTTCCTGTTACAATATTTAGCATTATTAGTTTGTGTGTGTGTATGTGTACGTTAATTTTAATATCTGATTATAAGACAATGCTGCTTTGGTTAACCTTCTCTAAACGAATTTAGAGAGGTTGACTTTTATAGCTTGCTTGTTCCTGGTACTCTTTTGAAGTGCACAAAGATAAGTCATGGAACTTTCTCCTTGTCTGCAAAAAGGGTAATTTTCCTGATGGTATCTGTTAGCCAGTAGACAAGGACTTCGTCATGAATTTGTTAGTAGCAAGGAATGATTTCTTCAGCTTCCTTGGAATGAATGATTAGTAAAGTTCTAAGCAAAATCAATGACTAGGAATTTCACATTTTCTTGTGAGGTCCCGACTCATTCTCTTAGCCAGATGCCGCCTCCATGAGTGATGGTGCTTTAGGCTTCTGGAATATGTTAAGAGTAGTAAAGGGAATCACTTTGAGACTGCGTACTGATAAACCAGGGAAGATCCCGAGCTAAATCTGCATACTCATGCATTCCTTTGTGAAGACCACCAGTACTAAAATAGCTGGGGGCTCATGCCTCCTCCCAGTGTTAAGTACATATAACAGGCCAGTGTTGTCCCTGTGAACATGAATTTAGGCTTGGGGTACATTCAAATATATTTGAGGCATTGGAATTAGGATAGGCAGCTGCGACTCCCTTGAGGCTCCTTAGAATTCTAAGTAAAACGCAGAGCTATCCTAAGACCCAGGGGTGTGGACAAGGCCTGGTAACACCAAAGGTGCTTGTTTATCCAATTGCAAAGGTGCCTGTCTCAATTTTCTACCACCTTTACTGCAGTAGAAAACATCACACTGTAGGGACACCTGGTGGAATCACAGAGCCACCACCATCACCATCATTCCGACCGACGCCTGGTTTCATTTTCTGTTGTTTCCCCCATGTGCAGCTGTCCCTGCTACCAACCTTGTGTTCCCCTCCATTCTTTTCCCCTACCACTCCTCAGTCCCCAGTCCTCTCTTTGGTATTGGGCGCCATGCCTGGTTAATCATTCCTCTCTCAAGAAAGAACTCCCAGGGATAGTTAAATTGTAAACTGGGGCTCAGCAACCTTCTGGCATGGGGACCCGAGGTAGCGCACAGCCGTCTGCTTTGCTCTCTAGCGCAGTTGCTGCCGCCATGCCTCCCTACCTCTTTGTGCCGCTGCCCAGGGCCCGCAGCAGCGGGACTCAACTGCCAGGGCTGTGAGTTCAGCCTTTCCTGTTCTGCAGGTCCGTCCCCCGCACTGTGCGCCATCCTTCCAGCCTAGAACCAGCAGTCACTCAGCGCAGCCTCCCCTTCCTTCTACCTCCCCTCCCCCAACACCTCAGGGTTCCTCATTTTAAAAGTTGCTGAGCCCTGAATCTAGGATTTTTTTTTTACCCCTAGTTCTTTCCAAAATCTGAAATTCTTTTATTTCCCAGACCTGGGTAGCTAAGGCTTGTATTGATTTTTATCTTTCAGCTATCAAGGCACTCACCAGAGTTTTGCTTCGTTTCTTCTTATTTTTTTTTTTAAAGTATATGATGCTAACATTTTAGAGAAAGAGAAAAAAACTCTTTAGGTTATCTTTGTTATAGTCATGACTTAGTCACTTTATGTCTTCTGTCCCTTCCATGCCACTGATTTCCTCATCTGAGATGAGGCCGTGGGCTAAAACTGCCCCTGTGTATTGTGCAGAAGTCATTCTTATCTGTATATTTCTGGTTCACTACCTATCTTTTCTTATTAGCTGTCCAGCTGAAGTTTGCAAAACAGGAAACATTAGTATTTCTGGTATTTGATGAGACAAAGGTTTGGTCGCATTTCATAGTGCAGCAGTGCTATGGAGGGCGTCTGAGTTTGCCTTTGTGTTTCTTCTAGGGTCTGTTTTTGATTTCAGACAGATGAGCCAGTGTTAAGGTGCTACTTCAGAGAACTAATTTGAGAAATCAGATAACACTGTGCCAAGGTATACTTTCTAGATGCTAAGCACCGATTGGCCCTCCAGAGAATAATATCCTTTTGATACCTCACTCCTGATAAATCTCATTCATTAACCTCAGCTTCTCAGGAATCCTTGTAACACGTAGGCCAGAAGTAGCTATAGTGTATGGTATTCATTGTATGTCCAGTCCTATGGTTTGGCTCAAAGGTTGGCTAATTGTGGCTCGAGCTCTCTGCTAGACTGTTAGCTCTGCACCTAACACTCAAGGGTTTCTTGTCTTCAGGCAAAGGAAAATGCTTTCTGCCATTGCAAAGTCAGCAGTTGGACCGACTTAACCAACAAACAAAGCTGATACAGGGAGGCCTCTCTGTAGCCTCAACTGGCCACATACCTCAATGGCAAAAGACTAGATGATCTGTGATTTAAAAATTAATTTGAGTTGAGACGAGTGTGTTTGGGCATAAGGAAAAGAAAATTGCCCAACACAAGGGAAGGCTCTACAAAGGAATGCCAGTAAGTGCTTCGGGGGAGAGGATTTTCTGAGGAGAAAGATCTGGGAGACATCCAGTCATGAAAAGAATGGGGGTTGATAGGTTTGTAGCAAAGTCTAGCTGCTATACTTTGTAGAGTCAGATCTTCAGTGTAAAGAATTACAGAGGCCAAAACCGTTTATGCATGGTTAGACCACTGGAAGGGGGAAGCAAGGGACCGAAAATGCAAAATAATGGCCACTTTCAAGGTCATTTCTATTCAGATGTTTGTTCAGACGCTCTCCTCTTTTCTGGCCCCAGCTTCCTTCTGGCTTGGGCCAGCTGTGGAATAGAGGTGGTAGAGTCCACAGAACTGATACCCTCTGGTGGATAATCTGACATTGATGACACTGTGGGCTTGCCAGCTGGCGGAGCAGACGATTAATTTGCTGATTGAACGGCAAAGCAGCTCAGTTGTTTTGGCATCAGAGGCTGAATCTGAAGCCCTTACCAGAAGAGCAGAGCACAACAGAAATTCCTGCAGCAAGTCTCCATTTCTGTTGGAACGTGAGAAAGATCAAGTAATGGCGATTTAGTGTGGTCTAAGACTGTGAAATAATTCTTACCCATCATCTTTTTTTTAAAGGTGGGGAGGGGCTGAGGGAGAGGGGGAGAGAGAGAGAGAGAATCTTAAGCAGGCCCCATGCCTAGCCTTGAGCCCGATGTAGGGCTCAATCTCAAAACCCCTTACAACCCTGAGATCGTGACTTGAGCTGAAATCAAGAGTCGGACGATTAACCGACTGAGCCACCCAGGCGCGCCTTAACCATGATGTTAGGAACTCATTCAGGTGTGGGGGGAGCAAATATAAAAACTTGTCATGCAGCAGAGTCCATCATGCAGAGTAATCCAGCATGTTATGCATTTTAAGTATTTGCATTGCCTGTCCTGGTTGGGTCTCTATCTTGGTTTGTTTTGCGAGGTGACGAGGAGGATGGTGAACTTGTTTATCCTGCAGTATCTTTTTTTTTTTTTTAAATCATGAGGAGTGCAATTTTTGAAGTTGAGTTTTTAATGATGATAGTGAAGACAGTATTGAGAATCTGAAATGACCAATGTGTTTTACATTGCCAAAGTGCTTGCTGAGGACTATCCATCCACATCGCCACCAATAAATTCAGGGAAGGCAGGAGGACATTTTTTCAGGGTAGTACACAGAGTATTGAGCTCTTGAAAACCCTGAGAAAAACTAGAGCTTTAGAAAGTAAATGGGAAGTAGGATATTCAGTTCTTTAAAAAAAA